GGGGCAGGGAGGTAGGGAGGGGGGAGGGGGGGGGGTGGGGGGGAGGGGGGAGGGAGGGGGGGGGTGGAGGGGGCGGGGGGGCGCGTGGGAAGAGAGATTTTTTTTTTAATATATGTAAGAGAGGGATTCAGAGCTTTAGGGAGAGAATTTCAGAGCTTTGGGCCAGGCAGGTGGTTGATGAAAATAAAGGATGTTCAAGATGCCAGAAAACAGATATCCGTAAGTACCGAAAAGCATTTTTATTTGTCCCACTTAAGAATGATCCTTAAGAGCACCTTGAGAAATCAGAGATGATTAAAATATACAGCACTGTAGTGCATCAACCAGAGGAAGGATAAAGAGGAGAAAGGAACTTTCAGCCTACCTTCATGATCAGGTCAGCAGTTTCTGAGCTCTCATCACTAACCGCTCCATCTGAATGGCACAAAGGATCCGCAGTCACAGGCATTGAGGAGGTACACTCAACAACTAACTGCTGCTTGGACAACTGGCCATATTCTGAAGAATAGAAAATGCCAGTATTAACAATTGGTCTTCATGTCTCTGTTTCAATGGAGAAGCAAATAAACATGCAGGGTTTCACATTTTCAGGAAAACCTATAAACCCCCAATGTCACAATGTTGAAGGGAAAGGCAAAATCTCCATGGACTGCCATAGTGGAGGGGGAAACCTCAGGCAGATCAATGGAAATTGGCGAATAATTGACAGTCCCTACATTTTGATCTATGGTTTTGCAACATACTCTGACGAACTAAACTAAAATATTGACAAATGCAACTTAATTTTTTGTTTGCAAGTTTCAGCCATGGTTTGTTTGTTACCTCTGAACCACAAGGTTCTGGGTTCAAGTCCTACACCAGGGTTTGAGCACAAAAATCAAGGCTGACGCTCCAATGCAATACTAAGGGAGCACTGCACTGTCACAGTACTGTCTGTGGATGAGATGCTAAGCCTGCTCAGGTAGATTTAAAAGATGAAAACAGCACGATTCTGAACAAGAGTGGAGGAGTTTACCCTAATCTGCTTTGCAATATTTATGCTTCAATCAACATTTAAAACAAAAATTGTCTGCCATTTTCTTATTTCTGCACATGGGGTTTTCCCTGCTATATAAATGCAAGTCTTAAATTGCACCTTTCACAACTTCAAGACATTCCAAAACGATTCAGTGTAGTCACCGCTGCAATGTAGGAACGACATGTATTTTATGTGCAACAAAGTCCCACAGACAGGAAAGTGATAAAAGGAAAATAATCTGTTTAAATGATATTGATCAAAGGATAAATATTGACACGTGGGAGAACGCTGTCTTCTCTTCTAAGTTGTGTTACCGAACCTTTTCGATCAGGACTGAGCATCTCATTTGGATGACAGACATTGAGAAAAGCACTGGCATTGAGGCAATGTCTCCTACATAAGGGTGTCTGCAAACAATCAATGGATCAGTCCAGCAGGCTAAGACCAGGTTCTTAGAACTAAAACTGCACCAAGATGGAAGGAATAATAGAGAAAATTAGTTCCGTCAAGAAATAGTGGAGTGGCGATGTCTCCTGTGCAATTGAAAAACTCTTTGCCTGTGGAGGGAAAGGAAGACCTCTGAAGATGAGTTCCACAGTTTCATTTGGAGATCTTAATGTGGATGTTTTGCGTGCTTACTTTTTTTTTGTAAAACACATTTGATCTGTTCATATAATTTACTCTGCTTGCAACTACCACAGTGGTTTATTGGAGAGATGATACGGACGGGGAATTGAATACGAAAGACATTAAAATAACGTGATCACTCATCTGTAATCAATAGGGATACGGTGGTTAGATTGGAGGGCCATGTCTGCTCCAAAAGTCCCTATAGTCAAGAACTTAATTACTAACTTACACCTTAAAAAGGTCGCATTGCAAGGTCTCCACCATAAGCATTCTTCACCCTGCCCCAAACCAACTTTGTTCCAAGGATTACTTTTATCTTTGAATAGGAAAGATTAGAATTTTCTGGAAATTTTCATGTCATATAGGAAATAAATTAAGAGACAATGCAATCAAATTCAACCTGTTTCCATAAAGCATGCCCTGCGATACAATTTAAATACTCTTGACGTTCATCATGTACACTCAATGTCAGGCATACAGACCAAGTGGTTCGATATGATTAACAGTCCCATGGTGTTCTATGGCTGAAAGGCATTAGACAGCGAACTTTCCCCATTGCATCTCTGCAGTACGAATTCATATTACAAGAAGAAAAAAACTTTCCAAAGGCAAAGAGAAACATCAGCTCGAGCCCAAAAGGTCAGCTTTGAAGAAGAGACTAGGTCCAAGTCTTCACCTACTATCCAGAAATAGACTTGGTTTGTTCGCCATGTCAGTTCCTTTAATCTTCACTGGTGAACTTCAGCGTACACTCTCAGCTATAATGTCATTGCAACATTGGGATGGTTCCACATTGTCAAATATTAAACCTAGGGTCCGTCTGTCTGTCTGTCCTAGGTCCTAAAGAACCCACAGCACTATTCAAAGGTAAGAGTATCCTGGTGGCAGGGCCGAGAACTCCTTCAGCCAATTAAAAACAGATGAACATAGAACATAGAACATAGAACGTAGAACATTACAACGCAGTACAGGCCCTTCGGCCCTCGATGTTGCGCCGACCTGTGAAACCAATCTGAAGCCCATCTAACCTACACTATTCCATTATCATCCATATGTTTATCCAATGACCATTTAAATGCCCTTAAAATTGGCGAGTCTACTACTGTTGCAGGCAGGGCATTCCACGCCCTTACTACTCTCTGAGTAAAGAACCTACCTCTGACATCTGTCCTATATCTATCACCCCTCAATTTAAAGCTATGTCCCCTCATGCTAGCCATCACCATCCGAGGAAAAAGGCTCTCACTGTCCACCCTATCTAATCCTCGGATCATCTTGTATGTCTCTATTAAGTCACCTCTTAACCTTCTTCTCTCTAACGAAAACAGCCTCAAGTCCCTCAGTCTTTCCTCATAAGACCTTCCCTCCATACCAGGCAACATCCTGGTAAATCTCCTCTGCACCCTTTCCAATGCTTCCACATCCTTCCTATAATGCGGCAACCAGAACTGTACGCAATACTCCAAGTGCGGCCGCACCAGAGTTTTGTACAGCTGCAACATGATTTTTAAAATCTCCTTTACAGTCTCAGGCATCAAAGTGTAAGCAAAACATTGACTATACTTAATGAAAGCACTTCATGAAGTAACAGATCACTCATGAGTCACCCTGGAACATCCTGAAGGTTGTGCTGGCTACTTCGTAATTTAAAATGTTTTTTTTTCTTTTTATATGTTATTAAGTTTTGTCCCCCTTCAATTTAGATCTGGAAGCAGAGTAATAGCACATCAAGTGAGCCACCTTTCTGAAACACTTTGCACTGCAAAGGATCCGGGACTTTTAGAACTGAGTCCTAACAGGCTGCTACTTAACTGCTGCCCAGCCCTTTCCCACGCCAGCTTTCTCTAATTATTTCACTGACAATCTGCAGCCAAATTCCAGCGAAACAGTACACTTATGATAGTTATGAGAGAAGGTTCGGAAACCCGAGTGACATAAGCACGGAAAAAGTGCCACAAAGGTCTGGCAGCAACTCCATTTGCTTGGATAATACTCTCACTGCCTCAAGGAAGAGCACTAGCCCAGCTGTGTATTACAGGAAGCGTGACACTGATTTACAGCTTTTAACTTGACTGAGTACAACTCTCAGCCATCCTCTAATTAGCAGATTGCCAACTCCAATTACTTCTGACTCTCTATCTCTGGAATAATATATCCTGTAGGAAGGTAAGGGTCACGTTGCATTGAAAATGCAGGAGAGCCTCAAGAGCGAGGTCCAATCAACCACACAGCTTTATTATTGAGAATAAAAGCACAATAATGCCGAAGCCGGAGATCTGACTTCTTTTAATATAAAAACCTTGACTCACATGTAAAGAGAGGGAAACAGAGTTAACATTTTGAGTCCAGTGTCACCCTTCGATTAATATCATGGACTGGCGATATGTCTCTGGTAGTGAGCTCTCTCCTCAAACACACTTCAAAAGTGTTAGGTCTTAACACTGAACAGTCCAAACTAGCCAATGGTGAGCTGTGCATTTCAGAAAAGCTGACTAGACCCAGAAAAACCTACCACATATGGTTATTTTGACTTCCGAATGTCGTTACTAAGTATTGGTACGAGTGCGCAAAATTTTGACCTAGAACTAGTGCTCAGTCGAAAAACATTTTTTAAAAACTGCATAATTATTACACTAAAAGAATCCTATAATTGTATTTAATTTCTTACTGATTAAATACAGTACTATGTCTTTCCCCTACAGATAAGTATTGTCCAAAATTATAGCCCGTATACATGAGAATGCACAGCATTTTCAGGGAGTTCAGAAATAGTGATTGCAGCTACATAAAATAACTGAAGGGCAACTGGAAATAGATAAAAACATTCAGCAAAGTTATACAGCATAACAGATCCTAGGACACATATTGTGTACTTAATGTCAGTTCCAAAGCTAATTTTGTTGGTGGGTGGGAGGTGGTGAAAGACAGATAATAGGTTTTTCTCTCTAAAGTATACGGTTCAAAGTGGAAAAATGTAAGAGAGAACAAACGTTTACACAAACTGAATACGGGATGTTCCATTTGCCACCATTCACTTAAGTACTGACTGAAAAGCAACTGTTTTCCATAACTTGTGTTACACGCTCCAATAAACAAAAACGATAAATTTTGGCAAACACAATTCTTTGGAAGCTGGTACGTAAAGTTAACATTGTTTTCAATACAACTAATCTTCCACAGGACACAGACAGATGAGAGACACACACAAATAGGCTGACTCTTTCATGCAGTATTCATTTCCCCAAGGCATTCTGTACTTTCCTGAGAGAGGGTGGGTGGTCGGCCCATGACAGACACCAGTAAAAGCTTATTTCAGATGCTCTACCTGAGCATACTTCAACTTAAAGCTACCTGTAGTAGTTCTTTCACTAGAGAGGTCCACCTATTGTTTCCAGGTTATTTTATTCCCCCTGAAGATTCTCTGAGCGCCACTGCCATTTTAAGAGAAGATGTTATGTGCAGGTGATAGGGATTACCACCTCTATTTGCCCTTTTTTCTGCCATTTGCTGTGTACACTGCCACCTGTCCTATGCATGCAGTTATACAACAGGTTTGCACCAATAGGCAAAGAATGAATGGGCGGCATGGTGGCTTAGTGGTTAGCACTGCTGCCTCACAGTGCTAGGGACCTGGGTTTGATTCCAGCCTTAGGCGACTGTCTGTGTGGAGTTTGCACATTCTTCCCGTGTCTGCGCGGGTTTGCTCCGGTTTCCTTCTGCAGACCAAAGATGCGTTGGTTAGGTGGATTGGCCATGCTTAAGGTGGGCTAGTAAGTTTGCCGATGACACAAAGGTTGTGGACAGTGTGGAGGGCTGTTGTAGGTTGCAACAGGACATTGACAGGATCCAG